AGTTTTTTTATTCTCTCCTCTTCATTCTCTCCCTCTCCATTATACAGTTTGGTGGGTGGTGGAGGGTGAAGCGGCCCCTGGAAGTGCACTGGAAAGTGCCTCTCAAGTACATAAGCAAGTGCAACAGGCAGTTGTTGTTTTTAGCTGGGGGGAAGGGGAATTGGATTTGGGATTGGGCTCTGCCTCGCTCCTCTGCCACATAGAAGGCGTGTCTGCAACTGGGATAGAGTGGAGCGGAGCGGAGAGAAACAAAAAGAGAAGAAAAGCGGGTGAAAAAAATGGTTTTAATTTAACTTTGGCCATGTCACTGCAGCTCCTACACGTTCAGAAAATCCCCACCGCTTTGCATAGCCCACAAATGCCAAGAATTCTTGGACAGAGGTGCAACAGGTGCGGGGAACAGTAATGGTTTCAAACGAGGCTTTGTCGGGGATCAGAATAAAGATTTTGTTATAGAGTCAGTAAAAGAGAGGGATGAGGATACATATATGCACGACAGAGAGCCGAGTATTGTAGGTAAATGTAAGTAATGGGAATGACCCTCATATCGCCAAACAATTCCCGCACAACTATTTATTTAATTTGGCTTGGCATTCCCCCGCCCCGCATTGTGTTGTCCAAAAACAGAATCGATATTTTCCATATGCATCAACACAATTGAACAAACAATTTTTAGGCGAGTGCTGTGCTGCTCGTACAGCAATGCCAAAAGCTGCCATATTGTCCTTGAGCTTATCACCTTTTGCACAGCCAACGCAACGAAATTCTACTCACAAAAAACTAGTCAAGTACAGAAAGAGAAAAAAACAGCAAAAACATTGGCAAATATCAATCCAACTGTTCTCACACAAAAATGCAAAAAAAGAAATAATAATAGAGGACAACACAAAAAGCGCGACAAATATTTTCACAATTTATATTTATACTTTGCATTTGAGTTTTTTGTTTTTATTCTTTTATTACGTATTTAGTCGTTAACTTTTTTACGAGTATTTGATCTGCCATTTGCTGAAAATAGACATGGGACCTCGTTTTTTATATATTTTTGATTAAACTATTCGATTCTTGTGGAGTTTCGAGCAGCAATGGATTCTCAAGACATATAAAAGCTCGACTGCTCTAAGAGCGCAAAATAAATATAAACAAAATCACATTTTATTTTTGTAAATTACAAATTAACATTAACATTTCCAGAATGGCCCTGCAAGTTTCCACACAGTTACATAATTCTCGAATGCTTTCGATTGCGCCTGAATTTCGACGATGCACACAAACACGACACTAGCAAAAGAGACAGATATACTTAATAAAATAAAGACAGGAAAGACAGAGAGGGCAACACAGGGCCACTTGTATTGACATTTGGTTTGGCGACAATTGATTTTTGTTACGTTTTTTCGTCTATTTTTTGCTGCCTTTTTGTAGCAATTTAGTTCGTTTGCTTTCTGGCAACGTCGTCGTCATACGTTTCGCTGTTATTTAGACAACTGCTGGCAAAAAAAAGAAGAATATTTGCCCCGCTCTTTCCCCTTTTTGTCGGCGAGGCCACACACGCGCGCTGCACTTTGCTGCATTGTCCATCATTTTTGTGTGTTGCTGGGGCTGTTCTTATTTGTCAAAGGGTATTCTGATTTTTATACAGAGAAGGAAGTATGTTGGCATTTTCCCAAACATATTTCCATTATCCATCCTTTGAGATGCAAAGATGGGATACGCTCCGATTTTTTCTGCTAATTTTCCCTCAATCTACAGGTGGCTCGCTTCACTATCTTTAATATCTTGAGCAGATACACATATTCGTATGCGGTTCCAAAAGATCGGCTTTCAAGAGTATCTCAAGCTTCGTTCTTGAATCTTTTCTTTGTTCCCTCTATTTCAATTGCTGCCTCTGCTGCTGTTCTTCTGCTTCGGAATTTTCATTTGCTTTTTTTCGTATTTTTTGTCATTTTTTTTTTTTGTTTTGCTATTTTTGCGAATTGCCTGCAACAGTTTTCTGGCCGCTTTGTCGGCTCGCTCTCGACTCAATTTCGTCTTATCTAATTTTTGCTTCCATTCCCCTTTTTGCTCTCTTTTCTATTGCCGTTCCTCTCACGCCTGTTGCAGTTTGTATAGTTTTCTTCTTCTCTCTTTTTTGTTGCTGATTTTTGTTGTGTCGAAATCAGGGCAAATTCATCATCATCAACAACAACATTGCTGCCTTGTTGTTGTTGTTGTTGTTTTTTTTTCCAATTTTTTCATTTTATTTTTGTGTAACAAAGATAAGGTTTTCGCTCGGGAAAAGTGGATGTTTTTGTTGTTGCTGCTGCCTTTTATTCTTTATATAATTTGAGACGAATGGGTGGAGTGGTAGATGGAGGGGGAGCGGTGAAGGAAAGGCTGGGGATTTTTGTGTTTGCCGAGTTAATCATTTCGGGCGAAATTTGATAATTTTGAAGGTGACCCCAATTTGTAAGCGGCAGCGGCAGCGGCAGCTGCTGTAGCCGAGCCCCAAAGACATTTTCGCGATTGATAAGAGCCGATGAGTCGAATTGGTGGATGAAGGAAGGAAAATAATATTCCCAATAATTCCAATATGTTAGGACTGGGTCCGATTGCTTGCAAAACGGTTAAAGAATATTGGGATACTTCTCCAAATACTTCTCTCCTAATACCTAACCGAAGAATGGGGAATAGAAGATGGTTTTTGATTCAAGCGAAAATTGTTTACTCACTGATAAAGATACTGAGAGCTGCAGGACCGGGCCACACCTAAAACATTTGTGGCATCAACGGGAACCTAATGTGATGATGCATTTGAGCTGCTCATATATTTATGAAAAAAGCGTATTTCCATCTGCATTTAGCTGGCAGCAGAAGCGCTTGTAAGGACCAATAAGGGGCACCAGAGAGAGGCGTCCCATATATCTGCTAGCAGTTTTAATAAAACCCAAAACTGACATCATAAAACATGCTTGCACATACGAGTATGACACTCAATGTGGTACACAGGTCGTATACGTAACACATGGCTGCGACTGTGTGGGTTTGTGTGCCGCATGCAGCAGTTGTGTGCCACACCCATGGAGCCACACACACACACACACACAGAGACAAAGCAACAAGTCGTTGTACCCAAATATATAGTGCAACAAAAAAATGCTGGAAAGAGAGAGAGAGAGAGAGAGAGAGAGTGAGCGAAAAAGAGAGGTGGTGGAAAAACCAAACTAAATAAAATGAAAACGAAGACAGAGTTCCAGAACGGGGGAGGAGTAGCCGAAGGAGGTTTAATAGGAGAAGCAGCGGCAGAGGCGGATGGGGTGGCCTTCCTCAGACCAAGCAACACCCCATCCAATGGCAGAAGCAGAAGCAGAGGAACAGCAGCCAAAAAACAAAGTCAAAGCAAAAAACATGCTCCAAAAGTAGTGTGGGTTATGCTGTGTAGGAGGAGGGAGGGTTCTCTGCCAGCGTTTATCAGTGCATTTGTATTGGTAGCTGCTGCTGCCAGCATCCTCCTTCATCCTGCTTTCAGTTGGATGTAGGTGCTCCTCCTCCTGTTGGTGCTGCTGCTGCTGCTGCTGCTGATGTTACTCCCTCCTGTTGCTGCTGGTGCTGCTGCTGCTGTTGCCTCCTGTTGCGCATATTGCAACGAAAAAGTTTCGTAACATTATTTTGCACATTTCCTGCACAATTGTAACGGGCAGCGAGGAGCTACCAGATAGTGGAGCTGCTGCCAAAATGCTCAACAAAACATGTCGAAAATGTGCCACATTCAGTAGTCGTAGCTGCTACTGTGGTGATGGCTCTTGGCCCACTACGACTCCTGCCGCATTCAACAGTTAGGTTTCTGTGTATGTGTGAGACAGACACAGACACAGACACAGACAATGCCGCAAGCCAAATAGTGCCACACAAACACAAACATAAAGCACAAATAGAGCAGACAGCAGACAGCAGACAACACACATTTCGACATGCCACATTTAGCATCCTTGAGCGGCATTTAACTTCATTTCACCCACAGAGACACACAGAGACACACAGAGACACCGAGAGAGACAGGAGCACACCCATTGTTCGTTCCCTGTTGTTGATTCATTATTCGATTTAAAAACAGTTCCCTGTCTAGTCCTTTCCTTTATGCAATCAATGTTGGCACCAGGATGCCTGCCAGGCTCCTGCTGCTATTCTTTTGTTTTCGTGTGCGTCAGGGATATTTCACAGGAAATTAAGTTTTTGGCACTTTTGGGGGCCAGCCACTGGCACTGGCACTGGCACTGGCACTGCTCCGCCCCCCGCCCATTCATTGGGGTCAAGAGCAATGGCAGAGGTGGCCTGGCCAATGCATATGGGCAATAAATCAGCCAATGGCCAGAGCCAAAACCAAGCCAAGAGCAAGTCCAATGGCACAAGACGCTCAAGCGCAGCGCTCCAATGTTGCCTTAAAACTTGTCTCTCCGTTGCGGGGGCCTTTTTTCTGGTTTGCTTTTCGTGCTTGCTACCCCGTAATCGCTAAAGATATTGGTTATGATGTTTCTGGTTTAAGCTTTCTTTGCAAGTCTTTAATATTCTGCTGCAAATATCTGCACAGGACATTTCTGTAACACATTCAATACCGTGTTATAATGGACACTCAGAAGTCGCAATGTTCGCCTAGAGCCACTCAACTTGTCGTTGGTTGTCGGCTTCTTGTTGTTGTTGCTTGTTTTGTAGGTGAGCTGGGCCATGAACAGAGGCAGGCTCGACCTTACCACCAGCCTCACTCAGTCGTGGCTGCAGCGCGCAGATCGCTGATCAACGTTAGAAATGGAAATGCGCTTGAGTGCATACAATGGCCAGCAAGCAGCAACAGCAACAACTAAACTAGCAACTGGAAAATGTGTGTTACTGTAACTGAGCCACCATCAGCAGCAGCAGCAGCAGAAGCAGCAGAACCAGCCAGCAAGCCAGGCCCGCCAGTCAGCCAGTGACTTTGGTTTCGTTTTCGATCTTCCTGTCATTGTGTTGTTGTTGTTGCTGTTGTTGTTGTTGTGGCGCGTGCTCTTCTTGGCTTAGTTGCTGTTGCTGACTGCCTTCACTTGTTGCACACGCCCGCTGCGGACACTGGCAGCAGGCAATAGGTGAGAGTTGTCATTGTTGCACAAACTACAAATAATGGCTAATGATCTTAAAGACGAAGGAGATGTCTGCTTCAGGGCAAGATAAATCTGAACAACAGCGGATATGTGGCATAAGGATGGAGATAAGGAAGATGCAACATTGTAAATGTAAATATTACTCATACGCGAACGGGACACACAACTACTTACTCCATTTGCAGCACCTACGGGAGGTTCATATTGCTCGGAAGTTTTAGCACCTTTGGATTTACCCATTCTCAATATCCACTGACTTCCTGATGCTAAATTGCAATCTACATTTCCAACATATTTCATTTATTCAAATTAAACCTAAAATTAACATTTTCCAGCCACTTGAAACACTTGAATAAAAACACAATTTACCATGCACGGCGACACCCGAAGGTCGATCACACACAACAGCTCAATAAAAAGATCGTGCAATCAGCGGATAAATCCATAAGCTAATTTGCGAGAAAGTAAGTCTATCTAAAAAAAAGCAGGCAAAGTAATTAATTAATAAAATTATGAGAACACTTTGGGGCGAACTCAAACGAGTTGAAAGCGTCTATTTCCGCATTTGAAAATGAATAAGCAAATGAAAAGAGTGATTGAATATGAATAAAAAATTAGCAAAAAAAAAAGCCGTGTAAAGAATTGCTATGCATATTGAGTATTTAAAACAACAGAAAGCGAAACATCAATGCATATCCATAATATAATAATGGCATCCGCGACTTGAGCTTTGATTGGCAACAATTAAACACATTTCAAGGCCCTAACATTGGCCACAGAAACTCGGCTAGTAATTTGGCCCAAAGTCTCAACTTTAACTTTGAGCTAATGAAAAGCAATAGCCGCCAGCTGGAAACTGGTTAGCCAAAATGCACTTTGTGCCCAGAGAGAACACATTATCCAATCCAATCCAATCCGATTCCGAATCCAAAGATATTAACTCGTTTTTCTCTAGACAACATTTTGAGCTCTGCCACACAGCCAATCAATTGCTGCCATTTTTTGTGTGATTTTTCTATTCTATATATTCCACCATCTCTATACAGTATATGGCTACGAGTTTCTACGATCCGGCAGAGGGTGGCCTTGATATTTTGTTTCATTTATGAAACCAAATGCCTGTACGATGGAGTGAGTAAGCGATACAGATACAAATACTCGTATGTACAACGTGTAACGACAGCCAACAGATACTTGTGGCATTTATTATAACAAGCTTTCGTTTGCATGGGAATTCATTCTGCGTTTTTTTTGTATCTGTAACACGTATGTATTTATGTGTGTCGTTGCTCTGTTTCTGACTGGCAAGGCAGGAAGCCACAGAGCTCAAAATAAGCATTGACTTTGCATATTTGTACCTTTCATTCATTACGCTTAAGGGTATATCAGGCAGAAGGAAGCGTTTTCCTCTCAAAATAGATGGGTATCTCCCAAGTTGAACCTGTTCGTTTGTGAAATGTATCATAGGTTGGCCAGAATGATCCAGAGACCATTTCCTAGAGTGCAGAACTTGATTTAATTTTAATTAGAAAATTACTTAAAATAATACCAAAAAGTAGGCGTTTGGGGCAGGGCCCTAAGAATCGCTCAATCTCCTTGTAGTCATCGTCATCGGTCGTCGTCATCCTCTTCCTTCCATCCTCCCATGTTTGATTTTTGTGTTGGCAAATTGCTCTACTCATGGCTGGCAGCTTCTGGTTCTGGTTGTTCTTCTTGGTAGGCCGGCAACGTCCATCATAATCAACGTCCATCATCAGTCGGCTGCCTCTGCCACTGCCACGGCTGCAACTGCAACTGCAAAACTTTTGCTGCTGCCTCGTGCTTCGATGACACGCCCACAAAGTGGCTACTGCACGCCAGCCCAGCTCTATGGCCTGTGGCCTGTGGCAGTGGCAGTGGCAGTGGCAGCTGGAGTAATTTTTCATCAGCGTAAACATCTTGAAAACTCTCTTTGGGCTACCAGTTTTTACCTCCGCTCCGACAAGTGGCAGGCAGGCCAGGCCCCATGTAAGCCTCAGCATCAGCATATCTGCTATCTGATATTAGAATCTCAATTACATTTTCCACTGACTTTGCGCTGTTCTTTGTAATTTGCAGCAATAGCAGGAGGCAGGGACTGGGATTGGGATTGGGATTGGGATTGGGCTGGTCTAGCCGGTTCTTGCGTTTTCGGGGTAGGCAAATATCCACCATGGAAATTTAGTGGCCGTCATGGGTAGGTGGGGAAAAATCTAAACAGAAAAGGAAATGCAAATGGAAGCAGTGAAAAAGAGAACGAGAGTAGAATTTAGCCCGCCCAAACAATCATTAATCATTTCTCAACAATCAATTAGAGGTTGGGAAAACTCTGAATGCCAGCCCCCCCAACCCCATGAGAGGGTTATCCCCCCGTCAGGAATTAACCCAAAAAAATTGGATGCCATTAAATTTTGTATTGCCTCTCAATTGGTTGTAGGGGCATTCAACGAATTAGCCAAATGCAGTCTGGAAACCTAAACACGTTTTGCAATTGATGACTTTTTAATAATCAAAAACAAAACTAATTTAATGCAAAACGACAACACAGCGACAAACGACATTTGAATAAATTAATGTAATAGACAGCTTGAGTAGCAAGAAATATTGTTGTCTGCCCCGCCAGAGCGGTTAGTACAGTGCGTCACATGATTGGGAGTGTCCTATGATCTGGGATAGTAAGAAAAATATTTATAAACAAATACGATATCGAATATGAGCAGCCATCTAAACAGAAGAATGTTCCAGCTGAGCCCACAAATTGTCTATTTACTTTTCTGGTAAAAGGTTTAAAGATGTTGAGAATTAAATAACGGACGAATGTTCAAAATCTCAGATCTCAGCTGCCTAACTACTGGTACCTCTACAGTTTTGACACGCACTGTCTGTCCGTTGGAACTAGGAAATATCAAAAACTGGTAGCTGCCCGAATAGTAAAAGCCCCACACAGCTCCAGCTAAAATGCAATAACAAAACCAAAAACCACAAGAAACAACAGCAACAACTGGAACTGCTCTAAGCAGGAATGCAACTGCAACAAAAAGCTACAGCAAAATCAAGAAGAAAACAATTATTTTTGCAGCATATGAAATAATAAACAACAACAACTAAAACTACTAAAAATATAAAGTGCAACAGGTTTTTGTGTGTGTGTTTGTGTGTGTTTCGCGATAACCTTGAAACAAAACTCGTTTAATCATTTATTTTTTGTTGTTTTCTGAACTAGCGCTCAAAAATGCAGCAACAACAACAACAGCAATAAATGAAATTTTATATGGCGCATTATAGATTTAATAAATTAACACTCATTTCCAATTGCATTGGGGAAATTTGTTTGCTTTTTTTCGTATGCATGTATGCAAGTGTCGCTTCCAACTAATTCAATTGAGTTCTTGTTGCAGGTACAGTTGTGTTCAAAATTGATACCCAATATGGCTGACTGCTCGTTTGCCAGATGTCTGCAGGAGCGGCGTCTCATCAAGCGGGAGCTCTCCAAGTGGTCCAAGGATATGCTGCATATTGTGGGTGAGTTTCCAACATCAGTTTCTTCACCCAATAATAAGGGAACTACGAGCTAGAGGATGGTAATCCTAATCCGTGAAGCAGTATTGCATCGTTACCTCTGTAGACATTTCTCATGCCATATACCCACGGCAATCCAAATTCAAATTGGTTGAAAGCTCAAAGCATATTAAACCCCGAAACATATTTTGTTCTCCTTATTTGTGCTCTCTCCATCCTGGGCTTCATCCTTGCTTAAGTATTAAGGCCGCAAATGGGATTCCGTGTCCGTGTAAATGGTAAATGAAGTGGCTCTGGACTGCACACAAATTGGGAGCTGGGCAGCTGTGCGGCTGTGTGGCAGTTTGTTTGAGGGAAATTGACTTTATCCAGGACCTAATCAACATCGAGCGCTGAATGAAAAACAAGTGCTCCAAAGGACACCCGATTCCTTCGCCAAACCAAAGCAAACACCAAGAAAAATTAACATAAATTGCATATTTTTTTCACCTTTAGGTACTTTTGCGCTTTAGTTGCTCTCCTTCCTTTTTTCTCTCTCTCTCTCTCTCTCTCTCTCTCTCTGTCTCTCTATGGGGGTCCCCAACCTTACTGGGCCTTATCCTTTTCCCTGAAAAACACTCATTTCGGTTTTTGAGCACGTTTAGCACGTTGCTACCTTCCCAATACCCAAACTGGTGTACGCTAGACCTACTACACCATCCTCATCCTGGCAGCATTAAAATGTTAAATGCCTTTTGTTGCTATAAACTGGGTTGGGGACTGGGCGGAATGTCGTATCTGTGTATATACAAACACACCCACACACAAACCTAAATAAGTCCATATATAAACGCGCCTCTATATACATTTTTTTTTTTCCGCCTTTCATCCAGCCACCCACCCACCAGCCCATCCGCACAGCCAACACGTCCTTGCCCTGCGTCCCTGTCTCGTGCACTCAATTACTTCCTCAATGCGCTCCATAATGCTTATCGTCCTTGTTTCTAGTTGACATTCTCACACACACACACACACACGCAGGTTCAGACACACACACACACACAGTCACGGAGACAGCGCTTCTTTCCAATGGTTCTTCTAACCCCCTCCCAACCCAAAACCCTTAGCACATTTTTCCAGTGACAATTTTTGTTGGCTCTCGAGTTTGAGGTGGGTGCAGGCGGCGTCATCGTCGTCGTCGTCGTCGTCGTCGTCGTCGTTGCACGAAGCTGCAAAACGGGAAAGAGCAAGAGAAAATGTAAAAAATAAACCCTCAAAGAGGTTGCGAGCAAAGAGTACCCTCTACTGGAAATAATAATACGAAAAATGATTCATTTAGGAATTTATAGCGTAGTTTCTTGTTCTAAGTGAAAGTAAATGTTTTGGTCGTTTATCGTGGATTGAGAGGGTGTGGGGGTCTGGGCAGTTGGCAGTGCGAGCATACCATTGTACCCACTACTACAGGGTACCGAGCATATCCAACACGGTGTCTGGCTTTTGGGCTGCTCTGGCTCCAGCTTTGGTTGGCTCCGAGGTGGGGGGCTTTGCCCCCTTTTTGGGGCTAGGGCATGGGTTTCTGGCTAGTTCTGGCCAACTGCAGTGGGAGGGGTGGGGCCTCTTTCCCAAAACGAAGTGCTCTGCTGGAGATAACGAAGCACACTTAAGCACACGCACACACCCACACACACGTGCTCAGGGTTGAAGGCGGGAGAAGTGGGGCTTGGAGGGTTAGTGTATCCCTACGAAATATATTGCACAATATAAAAATTGCAGACGATGAGTGCCGAATGCGTTTTGCCGCCTCAGTTGCCGAAAGCCGAAAAGGCAGGAAGGAGCAGCAGTCGAGTCAGTGGCAGTCGGTGCATGTGGCACCAACAACCACCCGAACCGAGTCAGAGAGCCGAACCCGAATCGAGGAGCCAACGAGGAGCAAGCGATTTAGCAATCGTCCTCGTTCCTCGTTCCTCGTTCTCTGAT